CGTGCCTTGATGCAAAAATCATCTATTCGCCGCGATCCAATTCACTCTCGAAACAGTCTCAAGAACAGTTTAGGCGAAACTGGGAGAGTGGCGCAGTCAACTATTTTTGCTTTGTTTGGAGATAGTGTAATACTTCAGGGCTATCCCTTTCTCCTTAGCGGTTCGAGATATTAAAGCTCAGAGTTAGTACCTCACAATATGTTTTGACAACCACTGGTTGATGACTGAAATTGCCTCAACCGTTAGAGGGAACGGGAGTGATGCTCACCATCATCGTATCCATCGGCAGATTGACGAGATATGTCATAAGCTCCGTTCAACGTCGCCTGTGCGCAGTTACGTAACCACCAACCCCTGAAATAGTTGCCACTGCAATAAAGTCTTAAGGTTAGTATTCGGTGGACATCCAGGATCTCATTGAATTTTAAGGGGATTCCATCTCCAAATAGGAAAAGTTTCCACAAACCCCATTTTATGTTGCGTTACGCATTCGGGTCTCTGGTCATTGATCCTGTTGATAGTTGAGAATTTAGCTCCAACAGAGTAGGTCATGTCGTATCTGAAAACTCACATTTTCCGTTGCTATTCTTACTGAGCATAGGTCTATAAACTTTATAAATTATCTCTAGTAAGAGCTTTCATCACCTTGCAATTGACGCATTACCCTGAATGTTCTTTTGGTTGATGTAGAGCCTTTCGAGAGTGTAGTCGGTTTCTTCCGGTCCAATCTATAAGAAACCGAAGAGGTTGTCCGAGTTGAAAGATGCCTCTCTTTTCAGATGCTCACGATGAATAGTATGCGCGTATTTCTTCTTGGAGGCAGTGGAGTCATCGAACCTAGCTTTCAGTAACAGTCTCCGCACATTCACTTATTTAATTATTTATTCATGCGTTCTATGACGCGCCAGCTACCCCAGGCGAGGCAGGACTGACAGCGTGATTCAGAAGAGTAATAATTAATGCACTAACATTATTTCGTGTTTTCCCAACGTAATCATTAGCATTCAGTATTTTTCTTCAAAATCCACTTGATGAGCGTTGCACAAGAAAACGATTTTCTTGAAATATTTGATAACAAATGACCGAGTTTTTGTAACGTCCCTGAATCTCATTTCCTGCTCTATTTCAGCTCGAACGCTGAGCAGTATTGTGAAATGAAAGTCAGTAAAACACGATGAACAGCAGAGGAAATAGTTGTAATGTTGCGAACTGCTACTGATCGCTGTCATTTTATCTGGAACTGCTCTCAAGTTGCAGACACAGCCATAGTCGCTCGCTTAGGGATAGCAAGTATCAGCGATATCATAGGTCGGTTGAAAACCACAATTTTTGACTGTCATAAGAAAAGACTTCAAACCCGGAATTTGAAGTAGTGGTTCCACCAAAACCCGTTGGGGTTCCTTGCGTTCGGCGTTCTGTCACCTCTCATTTCCACTCTCAACGTCACATTAGGGTCTTTGTAAGTGAGCTGATGAAGAGCCTCGTTGCCCAACCAGAAGGTAGTGTTCTGGATAATTAACGGTCATATCGTACGAAGGCTCTGAAAAATTTACTTCAAAGAGTTTCACTTCGGCTCACCTTCCCGATCTTCCCAAATCCCTGTCTGTACTCCGTCCAGCTACGATCCCAGAACGAGTCGCTGCCGTTCACTCTCCTGCAATTCGGACGAGTTAGAAGGGTAGAAAATAGCATCTAAATGATGCTTTTTTGTAAGGAGAAAAGATAACAGGATAACAGGACGAATGACGACAAACGGCAAGGCGAGCTCAAAATCCGAATATGCTGATCATTACGCTGTACCAACAGTTGTTGAGCGTGGCGAAAGATAAGGAGGAAAGTCCTCTGCCTCACTTTCCACTCTCACGATCAAGTCGATATGCATTTAACGACTGGTTGACCGAAACAAATTAGAGGTCGTGATTGCTATGACCTGTGGAGTCAAGCGTCTGCACTGCTACAATTTTCAGCCTTTTCAAACATGAAAATTCCTACTCTCGGTTGAGAACACTGAATTTCCGATGTCATTACCCAGTAGTCTCTTCTGTTTAGAACTGCAAAGTTGTTTCAAACCTCTGGAACACGACCCATCCACCTCCAGCTGTATGCATGTCGCAATATACTTGGTAAGGTTTACCGTTTACAACGATGCTGTATTCACCATCGCTGAAAATCAAACCATACAAGTTCGAGTAGGAGTGAGGGCCGAATTCGGCATCTCCTCTTTTTGAACTTACTCTCTGTACCCAGCTTTGTACCAGTCCTCACAGTCGCTCATTACCTTACTAGTTTCACATACAAAGCATTTTTCTTTCATACAGTCTGTCGTACCCCAAGTACCTGTAATATTTTCCATCATCAATCTTCTGTCCGGATTTTGAAGAGTGAAGTTATGAGACTACACATTAAGATCAAAAATGAAATTGGATGCCCTACCTTTCTTGAACGACGAGTATATGCATTGATAGGAGGAGTTTGAGGGCTCTGAAGGAATGCCCTCATTGTTGAGAATATCTTGGAGAACCGTATAATATAAATTACCCACTTCCTTTTTTCAAGTTGAAAGACGAGCCATCTCTCCATGAACATTTGCCGTATCTGCACTGTCCAGCCGTCCAATAAGATTTGCATCCGCTGGCTTCTCCAAGCGCTAAACAGTATTATTCCCACCACAAAACAATTAGCATTCTCATCCGAGTGTGCTGACAGGCGTCATATTTTCCGGCCACTTTCCTTCTTTGCTTTAGTCGCAAACTGAGCTTGTTCACATGGTTCTCTCTGACATTTATTTG